AGGGGAGACTGGCTGGAAGTTGAATCAGCCACCAATGGCCAATGATCTCATCAATCGTGCCTATGTAACTGAAGCCTCCATAAAAACCCAAAAGGGCAGGGTTCAGAGAAGTTCCAGGTTGGTGAATCAGAATGCTGCCGCATGCCACTATGCAAGGCCCAAGCTCCCCAGGACAAAAAATCCTTTGTTTGAGACCTCGCCCTATGTATCTCTTCATCTGGCTATTGATTCGTATCCATTAATATCCTTTGTAATAAACTGGTAATCTAGTGAGTAAATGGGTTTCCTGAGTTCTGTGAGCCACTCTAGTAAATTACTGAACCCAAGGAGGGGGTCGTGGGAACCTCTGATGTTTAGCCAGTCGGTCAGAAGCACAGGTAACAACCTGGCTTGAGATTAGCATCTGAGGCAAAGGGCAGTCTACAGGACTGAGCCCTTAAATTGTGGGATCTGATGCTCTCTCTGGTAGATAGTCTCAGAATCGGGCGCCTGGGTGGCTCAGTTGGTTAAGCGACTGCCTCCGGCTCAGGTCATGATCCTGGAGTCCCAGGATCGAGTCCCGCATCGGGCTCCCTGCTCGGCAGGGAGTCTGCTTCTCCCTCTGACCTTCCTCCCTCTCATGCTCTCTGTCTCTCATTCTCTCTCTCTCAAATAAATAAATAAAATCATAAAAAAAAAAAAAAGGATAGTCTCAGAATCAAGTTGAATTGTAGGGCACTGAGCTGGTGTCAGAGAATTGCTTAGTGGTACGGGGGAGCACCCTCACACACACCACCACGTTGGAATTGGGGTGCAGAGCTCTTTACCTTGAACTCAGGCAGAATTTTGTTCTCGCCTTAATCAACAGGGTAAAAAAGAAAAGACACCATGCAACTTCGGAGGCTAGGTCATTAAAATGTCATGCATTTCTGCCTAGTTCTCTTGAGATGCTCACTCTTGAAACCCAGACATCATGCTGTAAAAGCATGCAACCAACAGAGGCCACACATAGGTGTTCCGCAGCTGAGGCCCCAGCTGACTGCCAGCATCAGTGGTCAGACATGTAAGTGTACAAGTCTTCAGATAATTCCAGCCCCTAGCCACTGAGTCACCAATGCTGCGAGGAATAGAGACAAGCTTTCCCACCCTACCCAAACGGCGATTTGTGAGCAAAATAAATGACTGTTAATGTTTTAAGCCACTAAGTTTAGGACCGGTTGCTATGCGGCAATAAATAACCAGACAAATATTACTGACGTCACAGCTGGATTCTCGGGAGCATCTCAGGTAACAGGGGGCTAAAGCCACAGGTCCTCCGGACAGGTAGCCTGCCACACTCAGACAGGCTCTGCAGCACTATCTTTTACCCACAGCCACCACTCTCAGGAGATTTGCCCTATCTGCTAGCCCTTCCCCTCTTCCTGAAATCGAAGGCAGAGCGTCCAGATCGGTGCCCACTTTAGCAGTGGGACCCCAAGACCTCTCTGGACTTTACCATATTACAAACCAATGCCTTGCTCAGCCCGGAAACCTACAAATGTGAGTTGAAATTATGGTTCCACTGTCAGTTAACTGTGGGTTTTAGCTTCCTCGCATGTACCATCATGAAACTGAATGAATCCCAAGACCCCTCCAACTCTAACGTTCCAAAAGAGTATGTGCTGGGCCTCAAAGAGTTCCAACAGAGTAGGGGAAATAAGACCGCCATGAAAATCCACCCTATGAGGTACTATGTGATAAGTGCCATCTGGAGGCTCCAAACCACGGGTTCTAAGAGTGAATACAGAGGGGAGGGAAATCCTTCTTTGCTGGGTGGCTAAGAAAAGCACTGGGAAGGAAGTAACACTTGCATCTAGACTGGCAGAAATGTAAGGTTTGCATTAGACAACAGTGAAGGATAAGAGTAGAAAGAAAGACCAGGGCTTTTTATGAAAGCCTTACAAGCCAGGCCAAGTTTGACCATATCATACTTGACAATAGTTTTTGAGCAGGAAGATCCCAGGGATGTTTAGAGGGAGGTGAATGGAGTGGTACAATAAAACAACAGAAGGACCAAGAGAGCTAGCCTTGAGTTCTTTCTCCCGTTAGCTTTGTATTTGGAGGGAGCACCTCTCCCTTTCTACGTCTCAGCTTCCCAATCTGTAAAACACGTGGGTTCGACTGAATGAACTCTAAGGTTCCTTTCAGCTCTGCCCTTCTAAGAGTCTGGGGACTGAGTGGAAAGGGAGCCCAAAGTTGGTAAGACCTACGAGAAAGGTACTTTGAGGTACTATGAGGACTCAAATAGCACAGCAGCCTATGGTAGAAGAGGCTCCTCTCCCAGACAGCTAATCAACTGGTCAATAAATAGTTATCATCTTCCACATACCAGGCATTGTTCCAGGCTCAAGGGAGATGAAAAGACAACCAAGAAGTCTACACTTTTATAGGCACCCAGGTTTCTCACACCTCCATCCAGAGGCAAGGTTCCCAAACACAATACTGATAGCCTGAACCTCCAATGGGGCAGTGACCCGGATGCTAGAGGTTCACAGTGAAAAAGCTGTCCAGGAAATCAGCAGGCATGACGAGTCTTCTGAGAACTGCCCCTGCTGCCTGCCAGGCCTTACAGCACAAGTGAAATCTCCTGAGAGCAACACATAGCAAAGTTCACCCTGTTTAGGTGGCTGAATTAGCTTTAAACATAACACTTCCTTGTTTGCAAGTCACCACACTGCTTCTAGTCTCACCCCAGGTCATCAACACCAACATCATAAAACCTGGCTTCTGAAATCCAGGGGAGCTTGGAGAATCTCACCTCCCACTCCCAGAATTGGGATGCAGCCAAATCTTATGAGCTGGAGTGCGAACCATATGTAGGGAGGGTATATCTGGCAGCTGAGGGTGAAGCAACGTGCCCATGCTGCCTCATCAACAAAGAGAAAGGGAAACCTGCTCCAAAAGACCAAAACCTAGCACTTTGGTGGTCAAATGAAAAGGCTTAGATTTCCTCCTACATACCCTGCCAATCAAAACTGGGCTACAGAGGAAAAGGAAGGAAATATATTAGCAAAATACCCATAAAAGTCAAAAAGCAGAATGGAATACAGGATCTTTAACCCATACTGGCTCAGGTGAAGTCTCATTCAAGTTAAGGACACAAACGCAAATACCTATCTTGCCAGTTCCACAGGGTCCCATCTGCCCTTCCCACCAGTTTTCCATGCCCCAGAGTACCTCCTACCCCCAGAGTGAAACACAGATGCCTCTACTACCCCTGGGTTCCTCTGCCTCCATGTGGATGACGTGGGGGTCCCCAAAGCAGCCATCAAGTCAAACACCCAGCTTTCCCAGGCCCTAGCACCCTTCCACTCCCCAACCAAAGTTCCCAATACACCAAGGAGTCTTTTCCCACTGAGACCCCTGGGCTAGTGATGATAAAAAAAAAAAGGGCCTCAGGTCACTGCGAAACATCTACTGAAAGGTCAGACTAAGAGATTCAGGTGCCAAAGTCGTTAATACAGGTTGTACATGCCTTGAAGAAAGAGAAAGGATCATTCCTCTTTCTCCCCCATTGTCCACCACAGAGCCTGGTGCCTGAGAGGAAAGCCCTCAGAGCTCACTGACAATGACTTCCTAAATGAACTGGTGATTTACTGCCCTCCTCAGCCCAAACAGCAACTCCCAGATATGGCTGGGGGTGAAGACAGCCAGCAAACCCACCAGATGACACTTTCAAAATATCACCCACGGTCCAGCAGTAGCCTCTGAGAGAAGGATATAGCTAGCCACAGAGGCCTGGGACTCCATGCCAAAAGTCCAGGAAAGAAAATTGGAAGGAAAGCAGAAATATGGCAGAAAGGAAGGGAAATGAAGACCTAGAGGGGAGGCTGGAAGAATGCTTTTTTAAGGCACATCAGAGGCTCAGATATTTACAAACATCATCTATCATGTTATGATGGCAAGCATGCCGGGAAGCTAAAGGAAGAGCAATTTTTAAAAATATTTAAAACATGTAGGTACATATTCCAAATAGAAACAGGTACTTGTTGGTGGTCCTGATTCTGCTTTGTGACTTGATGTAAAACCTGCTTCTCCCACTCTAACCCCCACATAGTGGAAATTGGGCAGGGGGGAAGAATATTTTAAAAAGTTAGGCCTTGACTCAAAATTGAGAAGCCCTGGTGAGAGCTATACATCCATCTTCCAGTTCTGGCAACTTTTATCCCATCATAGGAAGGGAGTTAACATTTATTGAGAAGCTTTATGCCAAAAACTATGCTAAGCACTGACATATATTATCTCATTTAATCCTCACAGCAACTCTGTGAGATACTTACTATTATTATTACTTCATAGATGAGTATCCAAGATTTTGGAGGGCATAAGAAAATGCCCTGAGATCTTACTATTTGGGGAGTAGAGCTTGGGTTTGAAGCCAATTGTTTATGATTTCAAAATCTGTGGTTTTTCTATCATTCTACATTCTACTTTTTAAAAAAAGACCAAACCAGGAAAGTGGATTATAGCTGACACTGACTAAAATTCCCCAAGCTGCTTTGTTTACAGCCCAGCCTAAATTCTTGTAGAACTAGACTTCTGCCTGCAACTTGTGCTAACATGCATAACTGTCTCCCCACCCCGACCCCCAGTGTGGTCAACCTCCCTCACTACAGTGTAGCCTAGCTCAGGCACAGGCCCAAGCTGTCCCATCTTAAGGAAAAGGATATAGCCAGGAGAATGTCAGCTGCTTCTTGCTGGCTCCATTCCTGGAGCTCTAGGCTCCTCCAACAGCACAAAGCAAAGTCTGTTTTAGGGTCCCTTTGCTTTCTCCTATGGACACTTATAGAACTGGGAAATGGCATAGATATTAGAGATGGCTTTTGCTTCATAGTCAGCATGAGCTGGGCCCAGATCATTCACCTGGACAACTGTCAGAGTCTTGATGATAAGCATTTATATTTTGCACCCAAGCCATTTGGTTGCCTCTTGATGCCACCCTCCAGTGAACCCCACTTCCCTAGAAGTGCTCCCCTACCCACCTGCTCAGAGTCCCCCGAGGGGCCTTAGTGCCTCCAGCTCCATGGGTGATGCTGGAATTCTTGTTGGCAGTCATGGTCATTTCTGCTCTCTGCAAACCCAGAACCCTGCAAAGAAATCAAGGCCTATTAGCCAAGTTTCCACAGGCAGCCAAAAGTACCTCAAGCATTTCCAGATGACCTCCAAAACTGCCAAGAGGGTTTCTGTGGCAGGTAGCAGGAACCACTTTCCCACATAGATTTAATTCCATGTGTTATAGCTTAAGAGCCTCAAGGGATCCCTGATCTGGGTTAGGCAATGAGTCTGTGAGCTAGCAGATAACTTATCACTTCACAGAGAATGACAAAACTCCATTTCCATCCTACCTCTTCTCATTTTTTAAATATTCCCAAACTTCAAGCGTGCCATAAAGCCTTGGTAAATTCCATCCTATTTGTATACCTCCTGAATAACTATTGATTCAGTGTTTTTCTTGAAACAACTTGAAACTAACTTGCTTATCTTAAAAGATATAACCTTGTTCTATACAATTAATCATTTAGTCACTCAACAAATATTTACTGAGCACCTATGTCCTAGGCACTGCCATCCAACAAAGAATGAAACAAAGTCTCTGCCCTTCGGGAGATTCATTACAGGAAAAACAAACAATAAGCCTGCACATGTCACATGTGTGTGATACATCAGTGTACATTTATGTATAATTTGTATGGTGATGATAAGTGGTATGAAGAAGAAAATGAAGCAAGGTAGAGGAAGAGTGAAGAAGGTCTGTTATTTGAAAGAGAAGGTTCAGGGAGGAATATTCTAATAGAGTAACATTCGAGCTAACACCATAAAGTTATGAACTATCATATTTTTTCTAATATACATTATGGTATTTAAGTACTGATGAAGTGAAAAATGTCCATTCATGTACCATACAGAGTTAGCAAATATATCATTATCCTTTAGGGAACATCATTTTATGTTAAAATAATAAAAGGAAGAAAAAGGTTAAAACTTAAGAGTACATCCAGATTGGAAAGGAAGAAGTAGAATTATCTCTTATTTGCAGATGATATGATCATATACGTAGAAAATCCAAAGGATTCCACTAAAAAACTTTTAAACAAATATATAAAGTCAGGCAAGTTTGCAGGATACAGAGTAATATTTTAAAAATCAATTTTACTTCTAACCACTGGCAATGAAAAATCTGAAAATGAAATAAAAAAATTCCATTAATAATTTCAGCAAAAAACCCCCAAAAACCTTAGTATTTCTAAGAATACTTAGAAAAATACTTGGGAATAAGTTTAACAAAAGAAATGCAAAGCATGATTATTGCAAACTATAAAACATCATTGAAAGAAATTAAAGAAGACACAAATAAATAGACATCCCATGTTCATGGATGAGAAAATTCAAAATTGTTAAGATGGCAATATTCGCCAAATTGATTTATAAATTGAACAGAATATCCATCAACTGTAGAAACTGACAAGCTGGTCCTAAAATTTTATGGCAATCCAAGGGATCCAGAATAGCCAAAACAATCTTAAAAAAGAAGAATAAAGTTAGAGAACTCAGACTAATTTCAAAACATACTACAAAGCCACAGTAATCAAGACAGTGTATATACACATAAGTATAGAAATAGACATCAAGGGAATAAAATTGAGAGTCCAGAAATAAACCCAAATGTTCATGGTCAATTGATTTTCAACAAAGATGCCAAGACTATTCAATAGGGAAAGAAGTCTTTTCAACCAATGGTGCTGGGACAACTGGATATTCATATGCAAAAAATAAAGTAGGACCCTGACCTCATACCAAAAAAAAAGGAAAACTGGATCTCAGACCTAAATGTAAGAGTAAAAATTTACAAAAGCAAAGCCTAGAAGAAAACAGGGGTAAATCTTTGTAACATCAGATTAGGCAATAGTTTCTTAGATATGACAACAAAAGGACCAGCAACAAAAAAGACATAAACTGTATTATACCAAAATTAAAAACCCTTGTGCTATAAAAATACCACCAAGAAATTTAAAAGACACCCACAGATGGGGGGAAATTATTTGCAAATCATGTATCTGCTAAGGAGCTGTATCCAGAATGTATAAAGAATTCTTTCAATTCAATAATAGAAAGACAAATAACCCAATTAAAAACTGGACAAAGGATTTGCATAGGCATTTCTCCAAAGATATAATATCATCCAGTCAGCTGATGAAACAATCACTAGTCATCAGGGAAACAGAAATCAAAACTACAATATAGTATTATACTTCACACCCACCAGTATGGCTATAATGAAACAGACAGATAAAAACAAATGTTAGTAAGGCTGTGGAGATACTGAAACCTTCATTTATTGCTGGTGATAATGTACAATGGTGCAGCCATTTTGGAAAACAGTTTGGCAGTTCAGAAAAGTTGTACACAGAGTTACCATATGACCTAGCATGATCCACTCCTAGGTTTATATCCAAGAGAAGTAAAAATACTGTGTCCACACAAATACCTGTACACAAATGTTCATAACAGCATTATTCATAACAGCCAAAAAGTGGAAACAATCCAAATGTCCATCAGTGGATGAATGCATAAACAAAATGTGATACATCCATACAATGGAATATTATTCAGACATAAAAAGGAAGGAGAAGTACCAATACATTCTACAACATGCATGAACCCTGGTGCCATTTTTACAAAATGTAGAGAATAGGCAAATCTGTAGAGACAGAAAGTAAATTAGTGGTTGCCAAGGTTGGGTTGAGAGTGGCAGAATAGAGAATGGCTGTGATCAGTATGGGTTTCTTTTTGAGGTGAAAAAAAAGTACTGGAATTAGATTATGGTGATGGTTGCACAACTCTGTGAATAAACCAAAAACAACTGAAATGTATGCATTTTACAGTATGTGAGTTATATCTCAATACAGCTGTTAAAATAAAACTTAAGGGCAAAAAAAATTTTTTTAAGTGCCTTGGAGAGTGGATGTGAGGGAGAACACAATTGAGACACCAAGCATATTTCCAGTGTGAATGTACACTCTGGCCTGGACTAACACCCCTTCATGGAAGCTGAATAGCAGTTCTCACTCTGACTGGCATTCCCATCACAATGACCAAAATGAAGTGCATTTGGATGTGAGAGTTAAACATATTTATTTACAGCCACTGAAGACCTTAATCCTAGAGGCCATCTTACTTATTAATAAGTGATTAGTCTCAACGACAAGAAAACCAAACCTGAGCCTCACTTCTATCCTTCATAAAGTAGAGAAAAGCCTTCTCTACCTGTCGGGGGAGAAAAAATCTTTATAAACCTAAGTATACAGTGATGATGGTGACGATGATGATAATAATGAGGATGAGGAGAAGTCAATCCTGCCACCCGAGCATCTGTGCACACTGGCTCTCATGAGATCTTCTTTATCTGCCCCAGCCCAGTGCCAAGTTAAGCTTTTGGCATATGGCTGTGTGTGCACTAGAAAGAAGGGGGAGAAGAGGCAGCCTCTGGAAGCTTTCCCAGGCCGGTTCTCAGGGTCCTCAGGGAGCACAGTGTTACAAGGAATCAACTGGCTAAGCATCAGCTTTCAACTGTGCCCATGGTAACAATGGTCACAATAACCATCATAACCCATCAAAACAACACTAGACATGCTCTAGCGGCTCCAGGGCAAGTCCTCAGGGAAAGGGCAGAAGATCTGTGGAAAGACCAGAAACTGAAAGATATTAAAATAACATGATAAAAAATATATTCTTTCTTTCCCCGAATTTCCAATCTAAGGAGGGTGGGCCCACTGCTCAGAAATGCTTTTATGTAGTTGAGTATGAGAACACAGAGTCAACTTAGTAAGAAGGAAAAGTACAGATGACTCTGACATTTGCTTGGGCCGAGAAGAAAAATCCTGTGAAGAGGTAACCATGAGAGGAGTGGACCAAAATTTTGTGTGTGTGTGTGTGTCTTTTTTTTTTATTCTTATGTTAATCCCCATACATTACATCATTAGTTTTAGATGTAGTGTTCCATGATTCATTGTTTGTGAGTGGACCAAAATTTCTACAAGGCTCATGGCAAGGATTCTTGATCACACTTCTGCAAGAGCCCAGCTGCAATTCTCAAAAGTAGCCTAGGAGTTCAGGCATCTTGGGCAGGCACTGCTGAGAACCCCAGACAGGCCCACTCAGTAAGAACAGAGATGCCAACTTGTCATCCTTCCTCCCACCTGCACTCTCTAGGCCAGGTCTATCAGATCAGGCAATAATCTAAGGGTTTGAGGTACTAAGGACCAGGCTAACTCTTTACACCTGAAGCTCAGACTTGCGTACTGCACATGGCTGGCTTTCTGGGGGACACTGCTTCTTCCAGGGCCCTAAGAGCAACTCCAGGCTCTCAGGTATGCTTTCAGCCTGACGCCTTAACTAGCCTGACTGCAAGGAGAGAAGATGCTCTAGTTAGGAAAAAATACCCACTGGGCATGGAGCAGAGAAGGGGGCTGAGAGGCTGTTTCGCTAGTTTTCAGGCCCATCGATGGCAGAAACTGCATGTTTAGAAAACGAAATTGTTCAATTAGCATCTACCACCAGTCACGAGTTGCTCAAAAACCCAGCTCTGACAAATTATAGACAACCATCTGAAGAGTCAGGACTATCCAGAAAAAGGACTACAGTAAGGTATTCCTAGACTTGTTCTACAAACTCTGCATTGAGACAAAGAAACCACCATCCCAGGTACTTGAGGTCCAGTGGGAAGAACACCTGACTTGGGGTCAGATAACTAATTCTAACCCTGCCTCTCTCAACTGATAGTTAAGTGACACTGCACAAGTGAGTTTCAAAGACTCAACTTTCTCACTATAAGAGCAATAATAATAACATGACCTACCTCATGTGATTTCCTGGCACACAGAAGTTTAATAAATGGTTTTTCTTCCAGATCATGCTGCTGTAGGTATTTGGAAAGCAACCAGTCCATTCCCGACCTTGAGTCATTTTCAAATTCCCTGTTACTACTGTCATTCAGTCTATTTGCTCTACGCAAGCACTGTGCAAGGTACTAGGATATAAAAACGTTCAGACAGTCCCTGCCCTGGAGGATATAAATATAAAGGGAGAA